CAACCAACCGCTTGTAGCGAATCAGGAAATAAAGAGAAATAATAACAACGCTATCGTTGAACAACTAACCTGTCTCCGAGTTTCATTAGCAGTGGTCGCAGCCTGTCCTCATTGATGATTCCAGTGCCATCTGGATCAAACGTAGTAAACGCACTCTTGATCATGTCTTCGGGATCGGTACCATGCATGTTCTCTGAGAACAGCGTCATGAACATCGTAAAGTTGACAGTCCCAGTAGCCTCGCCCAGCATGTCTTCGATGTAATCGTCCTTCTGAGGCCTTCCTAGGGAATTAAACATCTCCGTCAGGTCTTTGGCGCTGATAATTCCATCTCTGTCCTGATCAATGACGTTGAATGCCTCTTTGAACTCGTGAATCTGCGTTTGGTCGAACATCGCGAAAACATTGGATGCCGCTCGTTGCACCTTTTTCTTAGATGCACCCTTTTTCGATCTGGATTTCGAAGACATTTTGATTTTGCCGTGAATCAGCCCTAAATTTTCTTACGAGTTAAAGGCCAGACACACCTTCGTTGGAGAAGGGAGATAGAAATGAATTTAAAACGCACCTATGTTTATTATCTATGTGTTTTGTCGGTTCTTCAAAAAGAGATCTATTTTTTTAGGTTAATGGGTTGTTAGTGAAATGTCATCTAATCACATTTTGATGTACTTGTCAACGAATGCTCTGCTCACAACATTTAAGCTTGAAAATTAAGCTAAGTCCATCTCCTAACCCTTTAGAGCAAGATACATATTTTGTGGACAGAACAGAGCTAAATCAAACTGAATCTAGTCATGAAAAAATGAAAGTAGTAATAACGTACGTTGCAATAATAACAGCCTACAAAGGAAATTTTATCGTTCAAAAATCGTCCTTAACTTCTTCACTTGTCAATCTGTTAACTTGTAAGGAACGCGTGCCGTGCGCGTCTGATAATCAACCGGCTGGATCATCTTTCTGTTTTCTCAAAGTGACTCTTTGGAGGAAAACTGAAGATTTTACCTCTCAAGACACCCTTGATACTACGGGAAGATTTGAAAGACAAAATTTCCTAACAAAATTTATGTTTATTCATCCTCCTTGAAGCTCCATATGGATCCATCTCCCATACAATCTGGGTCACGTAAAGTTCCTTACGTCGTCACTGTCAGTCTAACAATAGCGTCTTTCTAATTTGCTGAAGGAGATGGCGTAGGCGTCACGTGAGTGGGTCCAGGATCGATCAGGATCGAACGGTACTCTGGGGACGCGAAAATGTCAGCGGAAGAGTTTTTTTTCCTTCTTGATGGCTTTTCAGTCACGCGGTAGTTTCATTGAAATGTAGGAAATATTGATTTTCTCCAGGAAAAAAGTCGCTCTCTTCCAATAACCAATCATTTCAAGAAAGCATTAAGAAAAAGACAATACAGTCACATTTTTCCAGCCTGCGATCGATCCTGCTTCCTCTCTTTATATTCCATTAATCTATTTTACTGCAGTATTTCTTACCTTCCTGTCAAAAGAAAAATAAAGAAATACGATAATGAAAAGACATTTAAAAAAATAAAAACAAATAAACAAAGGTAAAACCACGTAGCCGTCGGTTATCCACCAGTAGGGTCAGCGGTTGCAATCACCGGTAACTGTTCAGTCCGCCATATTGTTTTAGATCTACGAATTGTCGCAGCAAAAGGTACTTTATTACATCACAGAAAACGATAATTTCCTATAAATATCGGAAAAAAGGTTTAAATTTATTATTATATTTTTTTCATGTTCTTGGCTGGGTAAGACCACAATGAGTAGCATTTTGTGGAGGAATTTGCGAGTTCCGTTGATCAGGCGCATGGCACGTCAAGCTAGTGATCATCCTACAGCAGAAGAACTTGGCCTAAAGGGATGGCAAGTCTACTTTAATACCTTCACTATTGAGGGAAGACGCAATGTAAGTTTCTAGATTAGTAATTTTTCCCAAAGCTTTCAAAACTTTCGGAATATTCTCGCCCTGTGATATTGCATATATTGATTATTTATCAAGAAAGTGTGGAACTCGGAATCTCACAAATTAGCGACGCTAAAGAGTTTTTGATCCTGGAAGTATTGATTGGAAGAAAAAGACGCAAATTGTTAACTCCTGATCTGAAATTACAAGAAAAATAACAGACCTACAATTACATAATTGTGATTAGACAATAAACTATGATCTCTTATTGTAACCTAGTAAACCCATAGCGATTTTTAAAAAGCAATGGACTGGACTTTCTCTTCATTTACTGGCTTTTAAGGCTGAATGTTTGTTGGAAGATTCTTGAGCTACTACACAGAGCTTTTTGTCTAGATAATGGCTTGAGTTATATTTTGATAATCTGTGAAACATTACATTACAATTCAAACAACTGGACCCAGGTGGTTGGGAGAAAACTATTTACGGCTTAACTCCCAGATCAAATTTATAATTCTCCTACTGTCAGCCATACAATTCCTATAATGTTAGTTCAAAGAATTTGGTATTGGATCAACTAATTATCCCCAAATTGATATTTTCTTTATTCTCATCACTTATTTGGTTGATGTTGTATTAATACTGTAAGGAGAAAATCTGCTCCTGGTCAGTCTTGGGAGTTAAAGGGTTAATGCTGGTTTTTTAGTCAGGTCTAAAGTTTAGTCAATGTTTAACAAACCAAGTTCTGAGCCATCTTCAATAGCCCTTTTTACAGTTCCTGGCACCATATTGGATTAGTAACTGCACACATATGATAACGAGGCTGGGGTTGACCCGGCGGTTCTTTCAAACAGCTGATGTGCTGACATTTCACATTCTAATGCACTTTTCAATGCGATTTCTCCCTTCAAAATGGTTCTTTAATACAACAATATGGAAATTTTGTCATTAGATGACATCCAGAAACTCGAAGCAAAAGATCTCAGGGAGATTTTAAAATCTAATTCAAAAATTGACGGGCGGAATTAGAGCCGACTTAGTGTCGAAAGTTCATGCTTTGCTGATGTGACACGTCCTTCCATCAAGTAGTGTAGAAAACCGAGAACTTCTTACAGATGTCTAGGACCTAGAACAAAACCAGAGCGACTTCAGATACGAAGCAACTATGGTAAGGATTTCAGCCCTTGGGTGGTCGAGCGATCTCTGTAATTAACCTGAGATTAATTTCATTCAGCTTTATGATTACCTTGTTGTTTTTAACGAAAATATCGCCAAATCGTGTTAAGAGGAACACATCACAGGAAGTACCACAGAAGTTGTTCAGTATGGCTTAAAAACCGAGGCAAAGGCTGTAGCCCTCTAGTTAGAGGAGATTTGTTATTGCTGCTGTTGTTGATGTGGTACTTGTTGTTGTACCATATTCTTCAGTTAAAGTTGTTCCCATTTTGTTCACCAAGATGTCTTTTAATTTGCCATTTTTACATTTTATCTTATGGGAAACTATACAATAGAGCCTGTAGAACCACTTGATTATAACCTTCTTTCTATCAACCCATGAAGGAAACTGTAACTAACAGAAGTCATAATATTTTGAAACCCATCTAGCCCAGGACAACTTATGCTCGTCATACATTGAAAACCATTGGAGTTTGCGACTTATGGCAATTTATTAGGTGGCAAGACAGCATTGAAAGAATCAGACCAAAATATTAGACAATTAAAAAACTCCCAAAAGTGACTGATTCATGTTACTTCTCCCTATAATATCCAAACACTATCTAGCAAACAGATAATGATAATACTGAAGCTTATCCAACAGAAGTTGTCTTGATCTTACATCAAATTCTCATTACTTATTTACAAGTAAATGTGTAGCAACTAGAAGGGAGAATTAACAATCAGATCTTGGGTATTTAAGGGTTAAAGGAAGAGAGCAGAAATGCTTCCTCTCAGCTACAGATCTCAGCAATGCTAGTCCTTCACACACATTTAAGTTTCTGTCAGTGATAAACATTTAGTGAATTGGTATTCCCATTCTTAGCACTCAGAGGCCTTCTGACACAAAGGTTTGCTTTTACTAGTTCTTATTGCTTTGTGTTAACCAATGTTATGATAATATAATTTTGAGATACTTAAAAGATTGAGAAATATATCCAAATCAAGATATTTATTTTATGCTGTTACGGTTACCATAAAATTTGTTTGAAAGAGAATCTTTCAGACTATCGAATTGTATGAGAAATTATTTTTTGCAAGACTTCTATCAAACTTCTTATTATGAGGACAATTTTGTGAATAATAAAATTAAGTGTCAGTTCATCTTTGTATTGAGAACTCTTTTAGTTGGTGAAAGTCACTTTTTCTTTTTTACAATTTGAAGCATCAAATTGATTGATACATAAAGCACACAAAATATTTTGGGAGAGTTCCATGTGGCATCCATAGTGGATTACTTTGCTATCATAAAAAACAAAAACAACAACTACTGAAAACTTCTTTTGTCACAATTGCTACCAAATTTGTGTCAGTTTTCTGGGTCTGCCATAATAAGTGAAAACTCTGAAGATACAGTGTCTTGGTTATTTTATTAAAAGCAATTACTTTCCAAGAGTTTCTCTGCTAGGAGTGTTTTAGGCAAGCCATGTAGTAAACAGGTGAGCAGTACTGAACTTATTGACTTACTGCCGCAATGAAAAAAAAACTCTATCGAAATTAAAACAATTCAGGTACCTAATTGAAAATTTGTATTAATTTTGCAACAATAGTCACCCTCATCCATAATTCACAGAGAATAGGATAAGTGTAGATCGATAATACTTAGCAAAAATACATGCCTCCATGCATAAGCTTGAAGAAGTGAAAGCTCATGGGCAAACCATTGGGGGCCATAAAATGTATTTGAATAACCAAAAGCGGCACACTACTCTCCTTTCTTTTTGGGAGAAAAATTAGCTTTATTGAGATTTCGGCTTGGACCATCCGTTTTCCTTAAAATCGAACAATTTTGCTGCCTAAGTATGAATTTCACCAAAAGCGCTCACAGAGATTTAACACGAGTCAGCCCCAGCCTCATTCTCACATGTGCGCGAGTATGATTTCAGACCAAAATTGAGTGACATAAGGTTCAATTACCACTTTATTACACCCATTTTGAAATTGCTCAAATACAGGACTTGGTCAGTTCAAGTATTATATTGATGCAGTACTAAGCCAGTTTGAAATTGAATTCATCCATTTTTGGGGGAAAAAAAAGTAAGAGTTTTGGAAACAAAAGTTGCACGTGATACTCTTTGTCTTTCATTTTCCTGTAATTTGATTGGTTACTTTTAACAAGCCTTGAAATCTGGCTGGTTGTTTTGTTTTTAATGTAGCCTCCTCATTGGCTGAGAAAAAGATGCAAGTTAAAGCAAAAAATGGTGCGATTTGTGAATGAAACACACCGATTAGAGCCAATCAGATTACAGGGACCACCAGTGATTTCAAAATGGGTGTAATAATTAATAAAATCAACCCTCTATAGAGAATCCCTGAAGCCCATTTCTTGTGTAAGACTGCATTTTGGTTAGACATAGGGTGAATAAACCCTTAAAGTTTATGAATCACTCATTCTTGGCTCTTGAACTCACACTTGCTTTGTGCCCTC